CCAGCCCATCCCCACCCTGCCTCTAACCATGTCCTACGGTCCACACCGAGTCCATCACAGGCAGCTGCTTTCAGTGGGCAGAGCATGATCAGAGCTCAGCACTGGAGACAAAGGCATACCTCCAGGTTTGCACAACATCAGCCCTGAGCACCACCTATCTGCAGCAGGACCAGGATAGTGGATGGTGACAGGACAAGGGGGAACAAAGTGAGACAGGGGAGGTTTGGGTTGGGTATGAGGAGGAAGTTTTTCATCCAGAGGGTGGTGAGGCACTGGAACAGGTTGCCCAAGGAGGCTGTGGATGCCCCATCCCTGCAGGCATTCAAGGCCAGGCTGGATGTGGCTCTGGGCAGCCTGGGCTGCTGGTTTGCGACCTGCACACAGCAGGGAGTTGGAGCCAGATGAGCACTGTGGGCCTTTGCAACCCAGGCCGTTCTCTGCCCAGCACCAGACTCCAGGCTGCAGGCAGGGGATGAGCAAAGCACAGCCAGCCCATGGTTTCCAGAGGGGCTGTTGGCCCCAGGACAGCAAATGCCATACGGAGGAGTTGGTTCTCGGAGCTGTTGCAGCCCCTGCAGCGGGTGTCAGCTGAGCGGTGCCGTATCCATCATTCCCCAGCGCTGCTCCATGGTTAGTGCTGAGCAACCTGGTTGGCAGATGGATTGCAGACAGAGCACCGCAGGGAGGAAACCCCATTGTCACCAGGGCGGGATCCCAGTGTAGGGCAGGATCTCATGTGGGGCAGGATCTCTGTATGGGGCAGGATCCCAGTGTAGGGCAGGATCTCTGTATGGGGCAGGATCCCAGTGTAGGGCAGGATCATGTAGTGGGGTAGGATAACAGCATGGGGCAGGATCTCTGCATGGGACATGATCCCAGCATGGGGCAGGACCCCACGTGGAGCAGAATCCCAGCATGGGACACGATCCCTGTATGGGGGAGGATCCCAGTGTGGGGCAGGAAGGCTCAGTCTCTCCTTCCAGCCCCCTGGGGTGGAGGAGGATGCGGGCACAGCACACAGCAGAGGCTCCATTATACACCAGGGACATGGAGAAGCTCTTTGGCTGCTTAATAAACACTGCCACGGTCGTGTTTGTTTTACGCATAACATACAAGGCGTGCTGGCTGCTGTTCAGGATGAGGTGAAGGATCCAGCGGCGATCTGCTGCAGCACGACCAGGCAGAGAAAGGGAAGAAATGTGCTCTGTGGGGCATTGGGGTGCCCCATGGCGTGGGGCAGTGGAACAGGAACGCATTGAGGGTGCTCCTGTTTGTGCCAGTGGGAGATAAAGCAGAGCCACGAGGCTCTTCTGGCCTTACCCTGTTGGGAACATGGGTGGGAATGTGCCTGGAGTGAGCCCGAACCTGGAGCAGCTGCACGGCTGACACGGGTCTCCATCAAGCAGGCATTAACATGAAATATGATTAAACTAATTAACATCCCTTAATTGAAATTGAGCCTGCTGAAAAAAAAATAAAAAATAAAAAATAGACCAAACAAAAAAATGGTTGCGTCCTTTGAAACTATTACACAACTTGTTATAAATGTACCTCCGATGTAATGGATGGAGGCTGCGGAGACATTTTGACTTAATAACTCCTTAATGATTAAAAAAATGAGTGCGCTGCAAAATCAATATGGCAGATATGAACTGGATTGCAAACCACGTAATTAATGCTTCCTCAATGCAGCTGCTGAAGGGGGGTCACGGGGAATTTGGGCTGTTGTTCTGATCTCATGGTGTCTGTGCCAAGGCCACCCTTGGTCCGGGGGTACTTTGGAACACAGTCAGTGCTTTGGCATTGGGAGAGATGGGGAAGTGGTGGGAGAAGGGAAGGTTACAGAAACCCTGAACTGTATGGGTGGGAAGGAGACGTTGCATCTCCCCCAGCCCAACCCCCCTATTGCAGAGCAGAGGGGAGGAGCACCTTCCTGCCCTGCTGGCTGTGCTCTGTGCAGTGCACCCCAGGGTCCCATTGGCCACTTCAGCCATCAGGACAAACTGCTGGCTCACGGTCACCTTGTGGTCAACTGTTGGCCTTCTCTGAAGACCTGCTTTTCAGCAGCTCAGCCCCCAGTGTGTCATAGAATCTTAGAATCCTATTATGGCCTGGATTAAAAAGGACCACAGTGCTCATCAGTTCCATGGGCAAGGTTGCCAACCACCAGACCAGGCTGCCCAGAGCCACATCCAGCCTAGGCTGCGTCCTGATGCTGCTGTTGTTCCTCCCTAGGTATAAAACCCTGCACTTCCCTTGCTGAACCCCATTGGATTTCTCTTCCCTCAGCTCTCCAAGCCCCGTGTGAGCACATGGTGCTCAGCCCCACAGGTTGGTGGATGTGGGGCTGCTGTGTCCGACATCCCATTGGCACCAGGCACTCTTTGCTGTGAGCAGCCTTAATGCTGATGTGTTCTTCATGCTGCTCGTGACAGTTTCTGAAAGCATAAAGGAGCTCTTCAGAGCTCTGAGCGGGTCTTTAATATCTCCGCATTGACTAAAACATGATACCGGAGTGACATTTAGAAGCACTAGAAGGCAAGGGGAGCTATTTATTTCTTATTAAGGTGTTTTTTTTTTTCCCTCGAGGGGTTGCGGTGTGGAGGACGGGGGCTGGAGGTGACCCAGTGCTCAGCAGTGCCTTCTGCTGCCGTATCCAGCCCTCCTTTGTGCCAGCTACGCCCCAAGGGGTGATCCGGGTGACCTCCGCTTGTGGGGATGTGCGGAGGTGATGGATTTCCCCACTGCATCGGGCGCTCCCTCCACCTGCATCCATAGCCAGGAGTGCTCTGAGCAGTAGTGAGGCTGAAGGTCCCTGGAGGGGCGCTGGGGTGCAGCAGCCCTGGGGCAGAGCACAGCCCACAGGCCGTGCAGGGAGATGTGTGCAAAAAACAACGATCAGGGGCTGCAAACCTGGGGCACGGGGCCGCAAGCACGAGGCATGGGGTGCAGACATTGGGTACAGGGTTGCAAATTTGTGACAGTGAGCTTCAGGCTTGGGGTAGAGGCTGCAATCGTTGAGTGCTGGGCGGCAAGCGTGAAGCAGGGCTGCAGTTTTCAGGCATCGGGCTGCGGGATCGGGCGGGGCTGCAGTGGCGTCGGGCGGTGTTGTGCCGGTACCGGAGCAGCACTGAGCACCGCTGGAGCCGGGCAGAGCCCCGCGGCGATGCTCGGGACCCGGAGCTGCTCCCGGCGCGGGGGTGGCAGCGCGGGAGGCCCCGGCGCGGCCCCGAGCAACGGGCGATGGCCGCCGCCAGGACCGGGAGCGAAGCCCCGTCTGCGAGGTGCCCCGGTGCATCCAGCCCCGATTCCTCCCTGCACTGCCCACATCCGCAGTGCCCCCCGCTGCGCTCCCCCAGGCTGCCCGGCAGAGGCGGCCGCTGGGGGGCGGTGCGGAGTATGGGCCCATCCCCCTCCCACCCCATCCCATCCAACCCTCTTCCATCCCATCCCATCCCATCCCCATCCCATCCCTAACCCCATTCCCCTCCCACTCCTATCTCCCTCCCATCCCATGCAACCCTCTCCCATTCCATCCCCATCCCATCCCATCCAACCCCCTCCCATCCCATCACCATCCCATCCCCATCCCCATCGCCTCCCCCTCCCGTCCCATCCTCACCCGCATCCCCATTCCCCTCTCCCTCCCGTCCTATACCCACCCCCATCCCATCCCTACTCACATCCCATCCCTATTCTAATCCTCATCCCCTCCCCTTACTGTCCCATCCCCCTATCCCCATTCCTATCCCCATCCCCACCCCCATCTATATTCTCATCTTCATCCCCGCCCCATCCCATCCCATATCCCCATCCCATCCCCATATCCCCATCCCATCCT